AACTGCTGTTATGCCAGTCTGATCCTACCAGGCTGCTATGCTGAACTCTTAAATTACTGCTACTGTGCTATGTACACTAATGTAATATATGGATATTCGATAAAAACCGCAGGACACTAAGTACTATGCTTAGGCAGGAGCTCATTGTTCTAATGCTGAATGGATACAGATATTGGCTGGAAGGCTTTTTATCCAGTGAAGGTTAAGCAACACAGTTAATTTACTATCTAAACAATTCTAAGTTTAAAGCCAATGTTCATGTTGCATGTGGGAGACTGGCCCCATATTTTTCTACTTATTTGCTAAAACGACTGTGGTGTGTGTTTCAACATTTGACTTTTATTAAATCAAAATGTGCTTTTCAAATGCTAGCTTAGGCTCGTGGGTATTGAGTTACTCACAGAAGGCATTTGTTCACATTACACAGTGTCCTTAAAATATTCTTTCTTATGACCCATTCTTGTAATTCCTTTAGTGCTGATCTACTACTAAATTAATTGAAAGGTTTATAAGTAGATGCTTTGATGATTTGGACACTCTAGATTTTGTTTCTCATGAAACTCCAGAAGTGTGATATCTCAGCTTCTTTTCCACACCACAGTGCAGCTACCAACTGAATAAACATACAGTGTTGATTCAGAACAGATCAAAGGTGGATGTTGATTTGTTTAAAAGCTATCCCAGTGAGAGATGATTTGCATGTCTGAATGAATAAGCCCAGCTAATGCTATAGCTGGAATCTGGCTGAAGATCTACTGCAGTTTTGGTAGACGTTCAGCCGACGTTGACGTTGAGCATCAAATAAAAACATATGTGAAAATGACTTAGTACTTATAGTGCCACATAGATCTGTTGGTCCTTGAAATCCATTATTTTCTAGTAGCTTTCAAACCTCTGCGATATAGTGCCATTTACATTGATATGTATCATCTTCCCAAATTGAATATGGAATTGTCAGTATACATTTACATTCTGTTTTGTATGATATCATTAAAACTACTTGCTATGCATAGTTGATCCTGTATATACCTCTTTGTTTAAAAAAAGCAAGCTTCTCTGCACCTATATACAGGCAATGTAGGAATATAGACAGAGATGTTATATCTATATTTTGCATTTTTTAAAGATTGAAAATGGGAATGAAGGCAACTTCTATCTCAGTTCCTATTCTGATACTTTACTATATGAAGCCACTGAATGAGGTCATTCAGAATCATCCCTAGTCAATTATACCTCTCTACCATGTGCCAAGGCAAGTAATGCTGTTCTGATCCTATCTTAGTTCCTGGAGTCAATAAGGTCTGGATGGGGAGAATCTGCCTACGATCAAACCCTAGCAAGACAGAATGATTATGGATCTTTGCCCTCCTGGGATTAGGAGAATTGATATTTCTGACTCTGGATGGGTTAACATTCTGCTGAACAGAATTAGGATGCAATTTCAGGATTCCTAGACTTGTGGTTTCTCCTGGAAGGCGGCAGCTATTTAGGTGCACCTATGCACAAAATCATCTTGTGCACCACTTGTGCCCATTCCTGTACTGGGAGGCCATGCTCATGGTCACTCATATCAGGCACCTCCAATTGATTTACTACAATCACTCTACATGGGGCTACCCTTGAAGTCTAAGGCAATGTACAGTAGTTGCTGGGTACCCTATGGTTTGCCCAGGTTATATCATTGTTGTGTTAGCTATACTGACTTCCAATTATTTTTTGAGTGTAATTCAAGGTCTGTTTATCAACATTAAAGCCTGCATGGCACAGGACCAGGCTATTCTCAGGACTATTTTTCCCTGAGGTTATGTCTCACTAGGTCAGAGAAGGTGGACCTGCTCCAGGTCCATTCCCTTAACTGTCATTTGATGGGATTTTGGAGGTGCACCTTCTCTATAGTCACCCCCCCTGCAATAGTCTTCCACTCAAGATTCAAGGAGGGACTTCTACTCTTTTAATTTTTCTGAAGGTCATAAAGATGTGGCTCTTCCCCTCAAGTATTTGATGAGGATGGGGATTGAGTCAGAGGGGTAATAGTTTGGTCTGGTGTCTACTGCTTTTATTCCTGTTTTATTGATTAGAATGAGTTGCCTAGGATCAATAGGTGGTCTGGATAGCCATATAAGTTCAATCAGCAAGCAAGCAAAAGAAGAAAAGCTAAACATTCAACTTGCAACTTATTGGGGATGGCCAACATGTAATAACATACCTGTGCACAAAAACTGTATAATTGTCATGCAAAATAGCAATAGCACTTAGACTTATATACTGCTTCACAGTGCTTTATAGCCCTCTCTAAGCAGTTTACAGTGTCAGTATATTGCCCACAACAATCTAGGTCCTCATTTTACCAGCTTTGGAAGATGGAAGGCTCAGTCAACCTTGAGCCGATTAGAATCAAACTACTGGCAATCAACAGAATTAGCCTGCAATACTGCATTCTAAACACTGCGCCACCTCAATTTGATTAGACACCTTAAGATCCCATCTGTCTTGGAGGGATGGTATAGCAGAAGGTTCACTCTTATGCTACTCCATAGATACACTAATGTATACTTTTAAGTGATAGTGACATTAATAGAAAAGGAGAATTAAAACCACCCTTCTTACCTTTTTCCTCTTCAACCAAGCCTTTTGAATTTCTTAATTAATTATGATTTTAGAGACTGTGTAATTTTAAATATGGATTTTAATTAAAATATTTTCATTTTTGTTAGCTGCTCAGGATTCTGGGGAAGGGGGGGTGGGCTACAAAAAGAAATACAACCCTTTAATTTATTTGCATATGCATGAGCACTATTCAATTCAGTGGATTTGATTAGAAATTTAGAGAATTGTATGACTGATTCCTTGAATATTTTTGTTTTTTGCCTTATTGTTCAATATTAATTCTGTCATTCAGTTTTGGGTTTGTTTTCTGCTACATATTAAATCCACAATAATAATAATCTCTGAATTGATATACGTATTTCTTTATGCATAAAATGATGTAGGGGAGACCCCAGCTTGGATCATTCATTATGTGACTTGAAAAAGGTTTATTACTTTGTGCAGCAGTGCGGTCACCTGGCAATGGTCATTAGTGTTTTAGTCGTTTTTACTTCACAACAATGCACAACATGCTAATTAGAGGGTTCTGAAAGCTAAGCAACCTGTTTTAAAATCAGACATTTTAATTTGCAGCATTAATGGCTATATTATAATAATGGGCTTTGAAAAACTCAAAAGGGCATTTCTCATGTTCCAGTAGCGAGGCCCAATATAACAGAGGATGACAAAATTAAAAATCTCATAATATGACCTTTGCTTAGGATAAAAGGCTGTTTCATAACAATTCCCTTTTGTTCTTTGTTTAAGCCATTACTCCAAAAGGAGACTTCGATTAATCTAAGTAAATGCATCATTACAGTTCTAATCCATGTCCTTCTGTCAGTGTCTGTTTTAATTAAATAAGAAACACTATCAGAAAGATATTATGCACAAAGCTGTGTTGGGAAAGAGAGATTCCGTTGATCGGGGTATTAAAAAAGTCTTTGCTATTTTGTCTACTTGTATAATCCCAGGAGCTACCCTGTTGAAAATAAAAAGGGGAAAATGTGGAGAACAATTTAACATGGCACTTCTTTTTTTTTTTTTATTGAAAGTTTTATAAATTTTACAAAAAGACAAAAACAATACAAAACGAAAATAACATATACAAAAAAAACACTAAACATTACATATAAAAAAACCCCCATCCCCCACCCCTCACCATAAACCCTCCCTTCCCCCCCCCTGAGCTTCCCAGAGCAGAATATAGGCTTAATTGAAAATTAACAAATAAAAAATTAAGTTAAAAAATTTTATGTAATATCTATAAGTAACATTAAAATATATATATAAGTATATATATCTCTCTATATATGAAGATAAAAATTATGAAAAAGCTATATAATATTTTTTTGTACCCAATCTAAATTGTATAAATTTTATCCATTTATCCCAAACGACAAGAAACTTCTCTTGCGTTTGTTGCTTTAGGAAAGCCGAAATCTGTGCCATTTCCGCCAAATAAGCTACTTTAAGAAACCATTCCTGCAATGTAGGCAAAGACTCCTTCTTCCAGTATTGTCCAACTAACAGCCTCGCGGCTGTAATCAAATTTAACATCAATACAACCTCCTTTGTATCACAATCTGTAACTATACCCAGCAAGAATAATTGCGGAGTAAATTTTACACTCCTTTTAAAAATTCTCTGGATATTCCACCATATCTTAATCCAAAATGCTTTTATCTCTCTACATGACCACCAAATATGATAATAAGAAGCATCCATATAGCCACCTCTCCAACATTTGGGTTGTATGTCAGGGTACATAAGAGACATTTTTTGTGGATCAAGGTGCCATCTATAAAACATTTTATAAAAATTCTCCCTTAAGTTCTGTGCTTGTGTAAATTTGACATTTCTCACCCAGATAACATGGCACTTCTTGTTATCACTATATTTTTGGTGAAATAATTCCTGTAGTGAAGCTAATTATTTAGAGACATTAATAAGAGAAACTCTGCAACAACTTGGCTTTTATTCTTCCCGTGTTTAGCTTTCTTAAACAATGTAACATCTTTATGTTTTCTCCTGTAATGTCAGTTTTTAAAATGTGTTTTGTATAATTAAAAGTGACACTGTTTTAAGTACTTAAGTATATATCAGATTAATGTTGAATTTGAAATGTTTGTGGAAATCTTGAGATAATGATTTTTTAAAAAATAAATTTGGTATAAAATTAAGATATTTAATCTAGTTAACATTGCTCTTCCTCAGAGTAAAGTTCTAATAACCCTCTTTGAGTTTGTTGCTGCACTCAGATCAAAATACTTAATCTGATGAAAAGAGAAAATATATAACACTGAGTTTAATTAATTTAATCTAATACAATGAAGATATGAAACAAAACAAGAATTGTATAAATCAAGATACTTTGTTTACAGCCTAATACATTAATATATTTTGTTTTTCAGATCACAAAAAGGTACTTGACTTTAAAGGAAATATGATTCTATGACCAAGAGCTTGTATACAATGAAAATAAGTATTTCTCCTATTAAAACACCAATCTTTCAAGGTATAAAAGCAACATTTTTTTAAAAAAGAGAAAAAAGTATAGCAGTCAAAAATGAACTTCTTATGAAAATATCAGATGTTTATGTCAAGATAGTTCTACAATGCAGTTGAAATCTGATTATTCCTATTTGTTTTGACTTTGGACTTCCAACCCTTCAAATATTTGCCTATATACTTGTGTATATATATTGTGTGTGTGTGTCTGTGTGTCTGTGTATATATATCATCGCTTTCTTATTATCCAAATTTGTATATGCATGGCCACAGGTTAATAAAAAGATGCTTATTACTATATTGTTAGTGTGTTTGTGTGTGTATGTATCACTGCATGATAACTACCTACTTTAAACTTTCTCAGGCTCTCAAAAAAATGCTGTTCGGACAGCAATTGGCAATTGTTGTAGGATGCTAATAATGAATTCCCCTTGGTTGCAAACTCCCTTGTTATAACCATTTCCCTCCATTGAGCAGCTTTGTCCCTCCTCTTTTAGGAGGGAGCAAAAGCTTGGTTAGAGTTCAGTCAAATGCTATGTAACTAGGTAGTTACTGCAGTAGAAAGAACAAAGACCGATTAATACAGAATAAATCCTTGGATGTTAGTGATCTCTAAGTGGATAAATGTTTATAAACAGAAATTGTCTACCATGTGTTAGAAATATTGTAAAAATACTGTAAAAATACACTTTTTATAATATAGTGTGTTCATACATACATACATACATACATACATATTATCCTTCTGCTTGTTCATCTGCTGTCCATCCACTAGACAACATCAAGAGGTTATAAATAAAAGTTTCATCTGTATATTTTTGCTGTAGCACTACATACTTTAAAAAGCATTTTTATGAGGATTTGGCACCTGCTGGCATGTTGGAAGATAAGGCATATGAGACCTCAGACTGAGGGAGCTAGCAGAAATGTTGTCTGGTACAATAGCAGTGTATATTGTCCTAATGGAATTGTCTCTGTATTCCTCTTATTCCTTGTTTATTGTCCCTGTTTTTTGTTTCTGTTATGCCTGGAGGAAATATTTGCCTTTTTTGAAGTGGGACATCATATATTGAAACTGAAAAAAAAAGTTGAGCTATATTTTGCATTACTTTTGATGATTAAATATTGTACCAGAAATGGTTGAATGTGTGCATTGTTTATTAAAAAGAATGCTGAATTTTAAGTAATTATATGAATATGCAAGGTTGTATCTTGAATAAATCATGTTTTGTAATTCCCTAATTTCCTAATTAACTGAATGTGTCCAATAGAAATATACAGTTTATTAAGGGACTAGAAAGACTAAAGAAAGTGTCCTCTTTCATTACAGTAGCTAGACAAGCAATGATATCTGTGTAATGTAGGCAGTAGCAACAGTCTTCTTCAAATAGTAGTACTCCTGTGTCTGTGGTTTTTAAAAAAGAATCTCAGGGGGTCATGAACAATCCTGGCAACCGCTTCTAAGGATTTCAATAAATAGGACTTTTTATCCAAAACAATTGCCTTTTATATTACTTTTAAACAAAACTACTAGTCCATCAAGAGTCTCAAAAGGAAAAACAATTCTGCAGAGTGCTGGTATGGCAGAGCAGACCAATCATTATGGCACCCATTCTCTAGTCCTTTATTTTTCAAGTTCGCAACAATAGGTTGTTGATTCAATGGACAAGACCAGAACAATTAAGTTCTCTGTTTAGAGAAGTGCAGCATTTTAATGCCCTCCTCTAATAATGGTCTCATTATTGTTATTCTAAGACTGGGCCTCAGGAGGATGAATATTTGCTGGAGGTACGTCATTATTTTGCAAATTTCGATTAGCTCATCATGTTGTCTGTACTGTGAAAATCGTAGCTAATTAGAGCAGCCAGTTAGACTACCAGCTTCTGAGCTTATGAGTTAAAAGGTAGCATACTTGATAGGCCAGTGATGTGAAAAAGGTGGTTAAAAGGAGGATTAGAGCTGTTGCCTTAGTAACTCTAACTTCCATCTGTGAGGGAACAATGGACTTGTGTTTCTCCCCACCTTGGTGTAAAAATTGGTTTGTTTTGAAAGGACAGGGCTCTTTATTTGACAATCTGGAATTCAGTCTGAATGTAGTTTTAGTTCTTAGGAAAGACCATTGGGGATAGGCAGGGTGAAAGGTCATGGTGAGCTCAAGGACATGAAAGCTTGTTGTCTCATGTAACAATTGCAGATTGTTTTGTCTTATTATTTCTAGCCAACTACTGAGTCAGGTGATGGAACAAATACCTCCAGATTAGTCAGGTGAAACAGGAAAGAGAGATAATGTACCTTTTGGAGCACAAAAGATAGCTAAAGTTCATTCTTATTAAACAAAGTTGCATTTATTTGGGTCCATAGTCTGGAAAAAAACAAAAGATGAAACTTGTTTACCAAGCCACAGAGTTCCTTGGCGATTTTGTACCCTACCCCCACCCCCCGTAGGCCATCACATATACAGAAAGCACTCCAAAGTGCTAGAAAATGTTATTTAAGCTTGCTTCCCATGAAGAAAAATCCCCCGGAGTATCAGTGATGCGATACTTAACAATAAATTTAGCAGCTGTGCTTTCTCACATTATTGGCTTTTTAGAAAGGTTTGCTTTCAAATCCACAATGAATAATATTCACTACAATATGAAGGAGATTTGCTTCCAGACTTTATAACATTTTATCTGCAGCACCTCTGATGGAAACAATACAGTAAATAAGTTTAAAACCTTCTATTACAAAGCCCCCCACTCCCACGCAAAAGTATACATTTGCTACTTGTTTTGTGTGAAGAGGAGGTCAAGCTTCTTTGTGTGAGGTTTGATCTTGAAGAGATTTTTCTCTTTGTCTGTGGGGAACATAAAGGCACTTCAGGGCTGTTTAATAAAACAGCTCCAGCATGCTTTTTGCAGGGAAATTATTTTTGTTAAAAGTAAAAAGGCTGCAATCTTCTGGATTTTGCCCAGGGCTTCCTAAAACGAACTCACTGCTTTTTTTAAAAAAGGAGAAGCAAGGTTGAACTTTCCATTATTTCTTTTCTCTAACTTCACACCTTAGTTGGCCAGAGCATCCTAATTCATTTCTTTCTTTTTCATCTCAGCCAGAACAAATTCATCCGGTATTTCCCAAACAAATCCAGTTTTTAGCCTCTGAAACCCTCAACCTGCTGGAAACCCAAAAAGAGCTAAATATCTAGGATTTCTGCTGGGTTTTCAAGGAGGTTGATCACCTGCCCTCTATCCCTGGGTCAATCCATTAGGTTTCTTCTTTGTTTCAGGGCTGCATGCCTTCCCAGTGCTTGTTCATTTACCTACCCGGCTCTCTAATTTCTCTTCCTACTCTCTGCTCTTCTCTTTATTTTCCATTTCTTCTTGGGGATCCCTGCTCTTTTCTTTTCCACCTCCAGTATGTTCCTTCCAATGCTTGTGTCTAGCCATTTTGCTCCTTCTCGGACGTACCTTCTTTTCTTGTCCGTTTTCTCTCCTCTTTTCCTACTGCCAAACCCAACCCAGGATTTTGTCTTCATTTTTCCTTCCTGACCTCCCCACCCAGGGATCTAGTTTGTTTCCCCATCTTGCTCTATAGTCTAGGATCTATTCTTCCTTCTTTGTTAATTATGATTGGACAACCCTATGAACCATTGGATCATCCTTTGAGAGAAAGGTAGTGCAGTTTGATGTGATCAGAATGAACATTACATTTTAGGCTGAAATTTTTTTTTTTACCCCATAGCTAGATAGTCCCATGTTCGTCTAAGAAGAGTATTGTTGTTGTTAATTGCGAAGTCGTGTCCGACCCATCGCGACCCCATGGACAATGTTCCTCCAGGTCTTCCTGTCCTCTACCATTTTCTGGAGTCCATTTAAGTTCACACCTACTGCTTCAGTGACTCCATCCAGCCATCTCATTCTCTGTCGTCCCCTTCTTCTATTGCCCTCAATCTTTCCCAGCATTAGGCCCTTCTCCAGTGAGTCCTTCCTTCTCATTAGGTGGCCAAAGTATTTGAGTTTCAACTTCAGGATCTGGCCTTCTAAAGAGCAGTCGGAGTTGATCTCTTCTAAGACTGACTGGTTTGACACCTTGCAGTCCAAGGGACTCGCAGGAGTCTTCTCCAGCACCATAGTTCAAAGGCCTCAATTCTTTGGCGCTCAGCCTTTCTTATGGTCGAACTTTCACAGCCATACATTGCAACTGGGAAAACCATGGCCTGGACTATACGCACTTTTGTTGGCAGGGTGATATCTCTGCTTTTTAGTATGCTGTCTAGATTTGCCATAGCTTTCCTCCCCAGGAGCAAGCGTCTTTTAATTTCTTGGCCGCAGTCCCCATCTAAGGTGATCTTGGAGCCCAGGAAAATAAAATCTGTAAGAAGAGTATATATCATAAATAAAAAAATAATTGTAATGGCAAACAAACTTCAGTAATAAGTCAACTTTTCCTTGCTTAAGCAGATAAACAGAACGAGCATGGATGTACAGTGGGGGTAGGAGTAACTTCTGACTTCCTGCCAGCTTCACCATTGACTTAGCTTGTGAGAAGTAGGCAGGGATCATAGGAAATCACAATCACATGACTGTGGGGATGCTGCAGTGGTCACAACTTTGTGAATAAAACTGGCCTGAACATTGGAGAAATTTCAATTCTAGGGGAATAACGGGTCTCAGATTTTTTAATGCATTTTTTAAGTAGACAGATACTAGCAACTTTGATTCAGAAATTGTTGTGGTATAATATAATAATAATAGTAATAGTAGTAGTAGTAATAATAATAGTAATAATAATAATAATAATAGTAAAGTTGGAAGGGACCTTGGAGGTCATCAAGTCCAACCCCCTGCTCAGGCAGGTAACCCTATACCATTTCGAACAAATGGCTGTCCAGTTTCTTCTTAAAACTTCCAGTGTTGGAGCATTCACCGCTTCTGGAGGCAGGTTGTTCCACTGGTTAATTGTTCTAACTGTCAGGAAGTTTCTCCTTAGTTCTAGGTTGATTCTCTCTTTGGTTAGTTTCCATCC